TCTATTAAAAGCAAAAAGTCACTTTTTAACAGTTTCTAGATGATTAAGTATACAATTCAATTAGCCTATATTTGAATACCACAGTTTGTAATATGAAAAGTAATAAAGAATGAACATCAAAATGATGAAGGAGAAACCCAACTGTGTAAAAACTGCGGGACTAAGACAGTTACCTCCACTAAAGACAAATGGATTACGATTCATTTCCAGCCCAGCAAATTTCACTAGTTCCCGTTGTTGTAATTCATGTAATCTCCAAGATCTGTTGTTCCTTCAGACTCACGATTTGCTACCGTTATCTAGCCAACCTGCTAGATCTCCCGATCTACCTCCTGTAGCCTCCAAGATCAGCTGTAAATTCGAGACTCCTGATATTTTTCAATTGTCTCTTCCAAGTGGATATCTAGAAATCACTTATTCCTGTTTTTCTTCATGCGCTTGTAGTCCAACCTCTCTCAACTTTCAGAAAATTCTGAAGTCTAACTGAGAAAGTACATTCCTCAAAGTGTTAAGGAAGTCGTGTGTTTTGGATTCACGAACCTTGATGTTTTTCCAAAACCTGGTTACCGAATCTTAAGAATGATATGGATGAATTACCAAATAATTATACTCTTGGATCTCTCAAAATATGATGTGGATGTGTTATACAATGAAAGCACAATAAAGCAACCACGCATAATTCTTCCCAGATATCTGTATTTATAGTTGGGGACGGTTGGATGTTATGGGCCATGTAAAACTCTTCAAAATCGCAAATTAAGTCTGGCCGCATAAATGTCGCTCGAGCGAGGGAGCGTCGCTCGAGTGACAATGAGGCGAAAGGTAGGAGACACAATTTTTGCTTTTGACACTCGAGCCAGGTCTTGGAGACAGTTTAGCGAAATTTCGGCGCCGCGTTTTCCTTGTTTTTAACCCCTATTCCTAACTTAACTCATCTATACAAAATTGCATCAAAATCCTTGACTTTTTACAAGTGTTCAATTTAAATCATTTTGTTCACAAATATGGCAATTATAACATTGTACCTAACAA